TCACTCAAACTTTTACTACCTAATATTTTTTTACGAGAAGTCACAATACACACAAATATTTAACTTGATCGTTGGAGTTTCGACCCCGTAATTGCAGGAACGAAGGCCGATCGTGATTCTGGTGGAATTTCAAATGACGAAAGAAGATTAAGGCTAACATCACGCTTACGTCATATATCAAAACTGACGAACGAAACGATCATTGACGCTATATGTGGGAAAGAAAATTTGTTTGTCAAAGTTTTCTTGCACAAAACGACCGGAACTAATCTAAGGCGTGAAGAATGGAAGGAGAGAGCTCAATGTAATCGCGAGGAATCAGACAAAGATGGACGTCGTCGCAGCCAAAAAAGGGCCACTCGATCCCTCCGAATACCCCTCAAATGCCAACTTATCGGCCCGTTGATGTTAGAGAATATTATATGATAGAACTCTTGTAATATTAGGATTCTAGTATGATTGAGTTACCTAGATTAGTTAGGATTTAGTTACCTAGTCAAACTCTATTACCTTGCAATATTTCTCTATATATATTCCATGTAATCAACTCATAACATAATGGGGGTTTCTATTATATTACGTATTATTATTTCTCTCTTTCTCCTTCTTCTATTCTTCCTATATGGTATCAGAGCACCAGGTTTTTTAACCTAGCCGCCTCCTTTCTTCTTCATCATGGCGGTGACCGCCCAATTTTCTCCCTCCCCCGGTCCCGGTGGTGGTACTCTAATATTTTTTCTTTTTCTATCTTTTCCATGCACATCACCCGAATTTTCTCCCTCTACCGGTGGTGCATCTTCTATATCTTTTTTCTTCTTCTTTTTCTTCCTCTTCTCTTAGCCGCCTATCTTCTCCATGGCGGTGACCACCCATATTTCTTCTCTTAGCCGCCTTTCTTCTCCCCCGGTCCCGGTGGTGGTACTCTAATATTTTTTCTTTTTCTATCTTTTCCATGCACATCACCCGAATTTTCTCCCTCTACCGGTGGTGCATCTTCTATATCTTTTTTCTTCTTCTTTTTCTTCCTCTTCTCTTAGCCGCCTATCTTCTCCATGGCGGTGACCACCCATATTTCTTCTCTTAGCCGCCTTTCTTCTCCATGGCGGTGACCACCCAAATTTCTCCCCATATTTCTCCCTCCCCCGGTGGTTCTCTATCTTCTTCTTCTTCTTCTTCTTCTCCTAAAACCTAGCCGCTGCCTCTCTTCTTCTCCATGGCCGGCGACCTCTCTCATATCTTCTCCCTCTCTCTCTCTCGATTCATACACAAAAAAAAAAAAAAAAAGTTTTCATATTTTTCTCTCACCCGTTATTATTATTATTATTATTATTATTATTATTCTTTTTAAAATTTAGCAGGTATTTCAACAGAAGATATTTCAACAGAGGAATTCTCTAGCGATGTGTTTCGCGGTTTCTGTCCAGTCTTCACTTTTTGAGATTATTCGTTCCGACTGCGGGAGCGTGCTAGCAAGTGATTGTCCAGTCTTCACGTTCGTCACGTTTTGACTGCGGGGGCGTGTTAGAGAATATTATATGATAGAACTCTTGTAATATTAGGATTCTAGTATGATTGAGTTACCTAGATTAGTTAGGATTTAGTTACCTAGTCAAACTCTATTACCTTGCAATATTTCTCTATATATATTCCATGTAATCAACTCATAACATAATGGGGGTTTCTATTATATTACGTATTATTATTTCTCTCTTTCTCCTTCTTCTATTCTTCCTATAGTTGAGACTAGCAAATCCGATGCAGTCGCTTTTGGAATGTACTATAATGTAAATATTCTTTATTTATACATTTAGGTGATTATTGTTTCAGTAATGTATTGCACTGAATTGATGCAAAATACGGAAACCTTGCAGGTTAACTACTCGGTATTGTTTGATTTATGTAGTACAAAATAGTGTAGTGCATTTGATTTCATTAATTTTAGTTAGTTGTAGCATTTTGTGTGAAAGACATGTCGAACGAATTATGCTAAGCATTTGTTTTAGGGGTCTTTACAAATAAGCCCATCAATGGATATTTATTCATAAAGAGATCTAGACAAAAAACTCATTTAACAATAAGTCCACACATGCTCCAGATTTTTGTAAAGGACTAAAATAACGCATCATACTTTAATATGCTCCAATTTCATCCTTAACTTTATTTTCCGCCGGATTCCGGCGTTGACTTTTCAAATTTTTTTTTTGTTTTTTTTTTCTTCCGGATTATTTCGCCGGTTTCTGGCGGTCAACGCGGGTCTCCGGCGTTGAATTTTTCGAATTTTTTTTCTTCTTCTTCTTTCTTTCTGTAACTTTTTTTTTCGTTTAAACAACAATATTATTGTGATTGACAGTAATACTAACTATCTTACTGTTAAACACAGTAAAATTAACTAAACTACAGTTTAACACAGTAATATTGCTATATTAATCTCTAGCACAATAATATTAACACAACAAAACTCATTATTATTGTGTAATGGAGTAATATTACTATGTTGACCGTTCAACAAATGTAAACATAATAAAAAAACCAAAAGAATTAATATTACTGTGAGTGACAGTAATATTACTATAACAACAGTAATATTACCGTCAACCACAATAATATTATAATAATAGACAATAATATTACGTTACTCTGTGAATAACTCAAACAAACAAAAAATCCAAACAAAATAATAATATTGATGTAGTTGACAGCAATATTACTATAACAACAGTAATATTACCGTCAGCCACAATAATATTATTGTGTTTACAATAATATACAGTAATATTATTACGTTACTTTATGAATAACTCAAACAAAATAAAAAACCCAAAAAAATAATAATATTGATGTTGTTGACAGTAATATTATTGTGTTTACAGTTATTTTACTGTCAACGACAGTAATATAATTACGTTGACTTGTCAACTAATCAAACAAAATAAAAAAAAATTAATAATATTACATTAATTTACTGTCAACGGCAGCACAATTACATAAATGTATTGTCAACGGCAGTACAATTACGCTAATTAACTGTCACTGACAGTATAATTACTGTCAGTGACAGCACAATTACGGTCAACGTTTAGCGGCGGACGTAAAAAACAAAAATAAACCAAACAAAAAAAAACAAAAAAAAACACTAAAAAAATCAACGCCGGAGACCGCCGGAAACCGGCGAAAAAATCCGGCAGGAAAGAAAAGAAAAAAGAAAAAAGCCAAAAAACAAAAAAACAAAAGTCGGTCAACGCCGAAAACCGGCGAAAAAATCCAAAAAAAAAAGAATTTGAAAAGTCAATGCCGAAATCCGGCGGCAAAAAAATTTTTTTTGAAAAAAAAACATTGGGTCAAAATTGAATAATTTGTGAAATTTGGGGTCAAAATGAGATTAAATTAAGTTAATGATGAAATTGGAGCATATTAAATTATGCTCCAAAACAAAGTCAAAATTGATTTTTTGTCGTCAAAATTGGATTTTTGTGGACAAAATTGATAAATTGGGGTTACAATTAAGAATTTGGTATAAATGGTGGAGGGTAATATTGGGTTATACATGAATGTTTCCTTTATTTATAATAAATATTAAAGGGATGAGCTTATTGGTGAAAGATATATAGCCCCTAAACCTAGAATAATAAACATGCTTGGTTGGGGATTTATGCACAAAAACTCCTTTATTTTATAAGATTCCAACTTGATCTTTCTCCGATGTTTTGTTTCCGCTAATATCTTAACTTATATTAATTTTATATTTATGTTGGGTTTTTTTTCTTTCTTTCCGAGCCTAATTTATTGTGGGACTTGCTTTTTGCGGTTGTAAAATTGCTATTTGCGGTTTTTTATTAAAATATTCCCTTTCCCTAGAAAAAAGAAGTTTTTGTAGGGAATTTGCTTAAAAATCATTCTTGTTGGCGTGATATACGAACACATGTGAGCTCATCGGATGAAGATTGTGATAGCGGATCTAACGAGATAAAAATTCCGTCTTCTCGATCGAAAAAACTGGGAAAATTGTGCAAACGCCCAACTCGAGCGCCCAATTAAGCAGTGCACGCCCAAGTTGGGCGTGCAGTTGGCAACAATCATAGTCACTTCTTTGAACGTGGTATTATGTGTGATAGTAGAGAAGCGTTAATTACGTGGGCAAAAGACACAACAATTAGTCATAATCATCGACTGATTAATTATTGTAAATCAGAAAAATATCATGTTTTAACGTGTGCAAGATATCAATCTGGACGACACATACTATTGAAGAAACGTTCTTGTCCGTTCAGGTTAATTGGCAAAAAATCAACGGAGGATGGATCATGGCTATTGAGTGTGAGTAATGGTAATCATAACCATCTGCCGAGGATGGATTATGGCGATTGAGTGTGAGTAATGGTAATCATAACCATCTGCCTTGTATTTGAAAGTTTAACTTATGTTTAAATTTGTATTTGTTTTAATTTTGCATTTTAATGTTTAATTTATGTTTTGGAATATTTAAATTTGTAGCGTTGTGTGCATTTTTTATGTTTAACCTATGTTTTTGGAATAATTAAATTTGTAAGGTTGTTTTGGAATGTTTAAATGCGTACTTTAATTGCTTCAGTTGTACGTAGTTTCTTAATTCAAATCATAAAACTAGTGAATTAAAATACAAAACAACAAACTAGTAAATTAAATAGTTCGTAATAATAATAAAAAAAATTAGTAAAATAATTAGTTCATAATAATAATAAAAATAAATTGTTAAATTAAATAGTTTCTAACAATAATAAAAATGCATTGTCCTAATAATAATAATAAAAATAAACTTTAAAATTAAATAGTTAATAAAAATACATAACTGGCAAAAAAAATCGATAAACTACTGCCTCGCTCTCCTCGGCGGTTGCACCTCATGATCGTCGTCGTCGTCGTTATTGTCGTCGTCCTGATCGATGCCAATATATCGGGCGGCGGGCTACATAATATCTCCAAGGTCGGCACGTAGATCGACAAGCTGCTGCATCCAGTCCAGTCTAGTGCTCCTGGTGATAGGGTACGATGCACGTACTATCTGCCGACTGATCTGGTGGCCTCACATTCTCTCGATGCAGTGGAGTCGGGCCTACGTCGGGGTTGTTGATCTTCAGATGAGTCCGATCGGTGTACCACTCCATGTAGTGCTCGTCGACTTCCCCCCGTTGTCGTGCCGTCTTGTATACATTGGCACGAATGAAATGAGCCTGGACCATGTCCCACATACCATCCGGAAATGGGTAGTTGACTTTGTACGATGTACCTCCTTTGGGACCTCGTGAACATGGCTCCATCGATGGAATCAAGCCGCGCGGAATATCCTGAGCCCACTCGAACTGTCGGACGCAACGATCAGGCATATACGGCTCTACGACCCACATGTACTGGATCGTGCCATGATACAACGTACGAGGGATACTCTCGTGTATATCCCGACCATATGGTAGCCACTCGACCTAAACAGAAAACAATATAAATACATAAATCAAAAAATTCATATTTAAACAAACTACAAACATTAACCGAAAAAATCATGTTTAGACAAACTACAATTACATAAATATAAATACATAAATATAAATACATAAATATAAAAAACTTACATCATCCGCTGTCATATTGTCGAGTAAACCTCGAATATGCTCGAGCGTGCCCGCTTTTTGTGGCGCGTTCCACCTCTTGCATCGAGGCTGAAACTTGCGGTACCGCTCGCTCTCCTCCGACGGCTGGAATCTCGGGAAATACTCGTATATACAGCACTGCAATATTTTATTTAAAGATATTTAGGGAAATAAACAATAGGGAATATATAAATTTAAAAACATCATGAACAAAATAAGTACAAAAATATATTAAAATTTACCTGAAGAAGGGTGGTGCAACCCACTAAGCTCCTCGATTGTGCTCGGCTGCATATACCCAACTCTTTGTATAGATTGGCCAAACAGGCCGAACCCCACGAATACGTGCCAACCTGATCAAGCACTGAATCCTCGAGCACGTGCATACACCACGGCTTCACCCGATCACATGTCTTGTCGGGGAATAAAATCGATCCGAGGAGAAACACCAGATATATCTGAACTCGGCGTCTCATGGGCGTGTCGGGCATCAACAACTATCCATGTATCATCCTCCATGTGGGGCCCCCATGCTTCGTCAATCTCCTCAAATCGAGGTTTAATACCTCGGACAGCAAATACACGCAGTTTGTCCGCTCGATGACCTTGTCGTATCTAGGCGCACAACTCGTCCCTCCACATTGGCACCTAGAATCATCTGGACATCGTGGAGAGTGATAGTCATCTCTCCCCACGGCATATGGAAGTTGTTCGTCCGGCTGCCACCAATCCACGAATGTAAACAACAACGGAGCATCTAGGCGCGGTAAATAACATGGGACTAGGAGATACAAACCGGTCATCCGCAGAAAATGCTTGTCTGCGGATACATTTATGTCTTCTAGGGCTGCTGATATCTTCTCGTAGTTGAAATGGTTCAGGGAGTTGATACGGGACTCCACTCGTCCAACTGGACGTTCCTGCAATCATTTATTTAGAAAATATTAATTAATCAACTATAAAAATATTTTAATATAAGATAGAAAAATTATAATATTAAAATTAAAATAAGTAATTAACTTACTTCTCCACTCCAAATATATGCCGCTACGTGCGACATGAAACTCGGAATCAATGACGGATCCCGCGGGCCACCGGGAAATGGACCATCTAGCACATCCGGATTGACTCGAGTATGACTTCGACCACCACGACCTCCACGGCCCCGTGCTCGGCCTCCACAACCTCCACAAGCTACAACCTCAGTCTCGTGAACGGGGTCCACACCATCCTCCTCCTCCTCCATAGCACGAGAAGACCCAACATCGGGATGTGCAACCGATGATCTGACTTCACCAGCTCTCTCAGCCTCTCGCCTACGTCCTGTAGACATAGTCATACGCTCACGCTCTTGATGCTCAGCCTCTTCACGAACTGCTCGCATAATTGCCTTTGATGTGCCTTTGCCTGCAATCTGTTAAATAAGACACTATTAACGTCAGTTTAAATAATAATAATAAATAAAACAAATCTTGAAAAAAAAAACTGAAATTTTGCAGTAATTTCGTTGAAAAACACACGAATTAATGCTTACATTTCGTGTTTGTGTTCACGAAATGTAAGTTTTTGTTTCATAAGATTTTGCACGAAACGTAAGAGAAACAATCCTGCTAATTTCGTGGAAAAATCACGAAATTAGCCCTTTAATTTTTGTGATTTTTTTCACGAAACGCATTTTTTAATATACTACTATAAAACATTGGATTAACGATTTCAAGATTTACCTTAAATCGTTGTTGAATTGCTCGTTTAATCCGCAGGAATTCGAAGGGAAATGAAATAAAGTCGCACTGCAAGCCGGTAAAAGTTATTCTATGAATAGCATTTTAGTAAAAAAAAATGTTTGGGGTGAGAGAGGCTCGAACTCTCGACCTCAGGATTACTCAACAAGCTATGAGACCTACGCGCTAGCCAACTGCGCCACCACCCCTTGATGTCTAGCTTTTAGACGTAGTGTATAATCTAGTGTACAAACAATGTGTTGAAATGCGCCTTTTGGATGGGCCATGGCTCAAGTAGTATTGATTTAACCCAAGAGAGGGCAAACGGTAACCCATATTCATAGCAATGGGTTGATGGGTCGAATCGAAGTTTACAAATTACACGGGCATATTTAATGATGATTTACACACGAATATGGATGCGTGTGTTGTTCCGTCCAATTAAATATTTTTGGGTATCATAATTAAGTTATGTATAACTATTTGATTTTCTTGCATGTTGCGAAAAGAAACAACAAAAATGACCAATCAAATACAGACATATCCCGATAAAAGAAACACCAAATTTCCATTTGGTAACGAACATACGTTTTCAAAGAGTCACATATATCCACCTCGACGGCATCCGCGCATTTGCTCGCTTTGGATCACTAAAAAAAAATCACTTAAGGGGTTGATTAAGGGCGACTAGCTAGCATGGTTGATTGCGAGATCCGTCTCTCGACCAAAGTGGTTGAGTATTAATCACAATACTTAGAATACAAGCTATAAACTGCACAAGACAAAGTGACTAATTAGCCATCTATCTGTATAATATCTCTCTCTCTCTCTCTCTCTCTCTCTCTCTCTCTCTCTCTATATATATATATATATATATATATATATAACAAATACTCACACTAGTACTTGCTAGGAAAAGGAAGACCCCAAGCAAAGCAGAGGCAAAAGGTACCCAAGGTGAACCATGCTATGCTGTCTAATAACATCTGCAAATTTAATTAAAACAAAAATATAGAAATCAAATCAAATCATCCTATTCTCGTTTACTATTATTTGTTAAACGGTAAAAGTTAAATCTAATTACATCGAAAAGATGATTTAATAATTATATAGTAAAGGTGTGAGTTTTCTCGTACATTTAAGAATCCGGCAAAAAGTCCGATGCAAAGTAGTAGTGTTTCCTCTCCTAGAAGTGGAGCCAGTATAGGCATTATGATCGTCTGTACGAATTAGATCGATAAACTTAGTAGTAAGTTTATAATTAGTTTACGACGAAACTAAACGGGTTTTTTGTTTCACCTTGTATGGCAAACCTGTAATAAATTTAAACAAACAATTAATTAATGATTAAACTAATGCATACACTAAATCCCAACATTATAATCATATATTTAGATTCACCAACAGTGTTTAGTTTGAAATCAACTTTCATATGCAGAATGAATAACGATCATTTTGATAGCTTAAAAGCGAGCTTAATAAAAAAAATCGGCTTTCACTCCATATCGTAATTGATTCAACATATACTACCTATATTTATAAAAAAAAAACAAAAAAAAAAAAAAAAAAAAAAGAGAGAGAGAGAGAAGAAAATCGACAATAGTTGATGGAAAACATAGCAAACAGGCGACGAACATTAGGAAAGAGAAGCCCAGTTGGGATATGGGCACTCGTAAGTCCAGTCGGGCCCTGAATATCGAACACAGTGCAGCCATAAACCCTCTTCGCGTCCATCATATCTGCATTCAAAATAATGGTTAAAATCAAAATTAATAATAATAATAATAAAAAGTACGAAACATTATACAAAACAAAATAAAATTCTCACCCTTTAGGTGACAAATCGGGACAGTTGGTACACATAGGATCGATGTCAAAATCTTCAGCAGAATCATCTGTAGAATTATCGGGTTTTATGTGAAGTCCTGAATTAGCTGCTGCAGCTCTATCAGCACTAAAACCTTCAATCGAACGATTGGGAACGCATTCCGATAGGTAAAGCAGGTCATTTGCTATCGGATGCCCCAGAAACTGCAAATGTACACGTATCTGAAACAAACACACGTTTTCAGTAAAAGCTATATTTGGTTCTAAGAGCTGTTGTATGTCGAACCGAATTGAGAAATTAACGGAATTTCTCTAAAGAATTATATAAAAAATAATTACCTGATGTGTCCTGCCGGTGATTGGTTCACACAAAACGATGCTTTGCGTTCCGTTAGTACTGATTCTAGTGAATTTCGTACAAGCAACTTTGCCTTTGGAACCGTTTTCGATCTGCGCATGTACCAAATCATTATAATAGGCAACTGAAAATCGTGACCAATCATAGACACAGTCGTGTGTAGTGTCGTGAAAAAAAAAAAAATACAAGACATCAAAATCGAGGGTGGATTTAAATAGTTCACGAAAAATAACCGAATTTAATAATGAGGTTCACTTTAATTTTTATGCATTAAACTTTGAACCATAAAAAAGAAATGATGAGTCAAAATTCGGCTTAATCCCACTTTGCACCGGTGAAATGGAGCCTTTTGGCACTTTGCACCCTAAAAACACAATAAATCATTCAAAATGCACCCTTAATAAAAATCACACTGGCTAATTGAAAAAAATTATATTTTCTTACAAAATAAAATCAAATAAACTTTTATCGTTAAATTATTCGATTGATAGATCTTTTATTGTAATTGGTGGAAATATTAGGTAGAAATATTTGGAAGAAAATATGATTTTCAGATAGCTTGATAACGGAATAGCTTAAGGATTTTTTTTCGTAAACTATTTTTTTGTAATAAAAAAATATAATTTTTAAATTCCACTAAAAATATTAAACTACCTTTATTAGCTTTAAAAACTCACGTGGGGTGCATTATGCATGATATATTGTGTTTCGAGGGTGCAAAGTGCTATAAATTTGTTTCGAGAGCCCAAAGTGCCAAAGTGGTATATTTCAAGGGTGCAAAGTGGGATTAAGCCGTCAAAATTCATACCTCAACCGTGCTCTTTCCTTCTCGAGCGTTGTAGTTGATGTTTACATTAGCAACTTGCTGTAATTACAAAAAATTCGAATATTGAAATAAGTGGGATCACAAGGCAAAGGTTACTCAAAAGAAAAAAAAAAACGATCAAGTACCTCATTCTCGGGAAATACTCCTACCACCTTCGCAATATACTGTTTCTTGATCTCTCCCGATTCAATCTGGAAGAAAACAGTCATTAACAATATCGAATAATCAATAATACGATCATTAACTAAAAGACAACTTCCGTTAACGGCTAGAGTGTTTGCACATGCTTTACATACGACTGGTAAGCTTAAACCTTTTACGGTTTTAATGATTACCTGTTGACGGAAAATGTCGGCCTTAGATGCACTTCTGGCAAGGATAAGAAGTCCGGAAACCAAACGATCTAATCGATGAATTGCTGATTTTTTTTAAATGTCAAGGAATATATATGATAAAAGCCGATTTTTGCAACACTTTGTGAAGATGAGAATATAAGACGGGTTTAAAAAATTTATTTATCGATTTACGAATGAATGCTGATAATGAAAGAAGCTGCTAGTTACTCGTCCAGCAAAGAAGGATACGGAATATTGGTGCCAAGTCATGCTCTGCTTCAAGTATACCGACGACTGTGTTCTTTCTGTATTGCCCACATGGATGAACCTGAATATAAAATATTTTTAGATCAATTTCTTTTACGAGGTCAATCAAATTGAGAAATATTAAAGCGGTAACTCAAAGTAAACATATTATTTGAACAATCACCTCAAAGTAATATTATTTCTGCTAAAAAGTAAAATTCTTTCAAATACATACATTTTCTAGGAGATACTATTAAAATGGAACGACATTCGTATTGAATTTTTTTGCTAAAATTCTTATTTGAAAGGAATTAAAGGAAATTCTTGTGAATGGATGCAGTTAAAAGCATTAAAGATAGGATAAAAAGATAGTTCCATGTTCAGACATTGCTCATCGAGACATCCTTAAATTGTTGAAATTGGATGCTTTTTGATAAGTCTATGGCGATAATATTATACGATGTTTAAACGATAAAATATCCCTCGTCCATTTATTTCGGGTGTTTGGACAGGACCTCAAGTGAATTGCTGCACAACTGTCAACAAACGAAGTTTTGCGTATTATGTATTGTGTATTATGCATTTTGCTATTGAAACGAACAAATAAAACGTATTTGGTTCTTTCCCAGCTAAACAACCAAAGAATAAACCGCTAAGGAAAATTAGTGGTCTTAAAGTCTTCGTTCGAGATAGCAAATTAATAATTATATCGATTTTTAGAAAAAAGCAAAAAATAATTAAAACTTACGGGGACGGAAGCAGGCTTATAAACAGTCAAGACATCGGGTTCGGTATGGAGAATCTGTACATCCATAGCCATAACTGGTGGTTCGTGCCTACACCCTTCAGCATGTCAATTACTCTAATTACAACAACATCGTAACCAATTTCTTTCTTTCTTTCGTTTTTTTTTTAAGTGAAGGAAGGGAAAAAAAAAAGGATCGGCGATTAAAAATATAACAGAATATACCCCCAGAATAAATAAGAATAAAATATTGCATGAAGAACACAAACCTGTGCAGAAAATGGCTGATTTTTTGTGACGAACGAACTATGTACGATACAGGTACTATCTGCCCGTCAACTTGTATGCGTCCAGATTTCACTGCCGACACCTGTAAATTGAGTCCGGCTTACAAATTTCGCATATTTATTAAAAATTAATTACTTCGATCAACGAAGACCAATTTCACATTTTATACAAAATAAAGAAAAGACACGACTTGTAAAGCATCAAATGATTGCTATTTTCACTCAAGAGGAACGAAGACACGACTTATAAAGCAGAAGTTCTCGATTATAATGTGGAAGGAACCATTCATCGTTAATAGCTCACGGAATACTTCTTGTAAAACGCGTTAATTTCCTCTTCGTTCAGACATTGCAAAGTCGTTTTTTATCATTCTCTTTAAACCTCGGAATAACATAGTTTAAGAGTAGAAATCGATGTTGTTTCACTACGAGTTAGTTCTTTCCCTTTGTAATGTTCTGATTATATCAACTTGTCAAGGCATCAAAATTCGACCAAACTATTAGGCCTCGTTTGGTTGCCAAAATAAGATTACCCAATATAAGAATAAGGGCTCGTTCGGTTACCGCTATAAAGTTCTACTGACTAAATAGTAGGGGCTAATAGCATGTTCGGTTGGTAAGATTCACACTTTTTCAATCCCGCTACCAAAATCAAAGCCCGCTATTAAATGCTACTATTTCTTTAAATTAGTAGCACCCCTCCCCCTGAGATTAATTTAATAGGGGGTGACTATAAAGGAAAAATACAATTTTATCCTTAAAATCATATTTTATTATTGTAAACTAAGTGGTTTTATAGACAATTCATGTATAATAACCGATTTTAACAAATTTAATAGAAAATCTAATCTAAGAAACTGAACATGCTACTAACTAAATAATTAATTAGTCAGTAGGGAGTTAATCCAATCTAATCCAATATAGGTAACCGAACGAGCACTAAATAATCTAATGAAAACTCAATTAATTTTACTGGACCCCGGGATAAACCATGATAACGTAATATTTGCGGGTCGACCTGATAACTCATTGGAGATACAAAACATCAAACGAAGTCCAATTATTTAGTTAATAACGGTTAATCTCCCCAACCAAACGCGGCCTTAGGCGTCGAAATTATTTCCATTTCAGTTAATAATGGTTAATCTCCCCAACTTAACTCACACATTGCTTCTACAATGGAAATAGGGAAAATCGGGCGAAACATATCGAAAAATAAAATAAAAAATTCATACATAATAATCGCGAGGCCGGCCCTTAAATTCATCGGCAAATAAATCGACAATCGTCTTCCCTGCCCAGCGATTCTTAGCCTGCACCCAGAATTATTAAATAAATAAATAAATAAATAAAAATTAAATTAAAGAATAATTAGTGAAAGGTAAAGAAGCAGGCACACAGTAAATGGGGCAGACTTACATGTGAGATGAACTCGAAATAGTAAGGTTTAACGTATCTTATGCCTGCGGAAATTATTTTTCAAAAAAACAAACACATTTAATTAACAGAATAAAAAAAAAAAAAATTGAGAATTCAATATATTAATTGATTACCGTCTCGAAAAATGTAATCTTGGCGCTGGGGAGGGTTGGCCGGAGTTTGCCACACAATCTCCATGGTTTCGCCTGCTTCGTTTCTCTTCCTCTTCATCCCTATTCTCTGTTTTTTCAAGTGTTTATTTGCTTGGGGTACTAACCAGTGTTTTTTAAAATCGGACCGGACCGGTTGGTCGAACCGGTTCTCTTAATCTTTTGTTTTTAAATTTTATTGATGGATAAGTAGTTGAATTGAAGATTTTAGGTGGCTTAATTCCACTTGCAAGTTGCAACCCTTGAAATATACAATTTTTGGCATTTTACATCATCAAAATAGATTAATAGCACTTTGTATCCTCGAAACACAATACATCATGCATAAAGCAACCTCGCATGAGTTTTTAAAGCTAATAAAATTTAATATTTTTAGTGGTATTTAAAAACTATATATATTTTATCTTAAAAAAAACATTTTACGAAAAAAATAATCTTTCAGCTATTTTGTTATCAAGTTATCTCAAAATCATATTTTCTTCCAAATATTTCTACCTAATATTTCCACCAATTACAATAAAAGATTTATTAATCGAATAATTTAGTGATAAAAGTTTATTTGATTTTATTTTGTAAGAAAATAAAATAAAAATAAAAAAAACTAAAAAATCAGTTATCCAGGGGGATTTTTATTTTTTTTCGCAGTTTGTGCACTCGAAATTAGGTTGCAAGTCGAAGAAAATAACAATTTAATTTGTTATTTTGCACCAAACAAAAAATCAATAAAAAATGAATTATCCTTTATTATTCAATTAAAGAGAGCATTGTGAATGATTTATTGTGTTTTGATGGTGCAAAGTGCTATTATTATTTTTCACGTGTGCAAAGTACCAAAAGGCTCCATTTTAAGGATGCAAAGTTAGATTAAGCCATTTTAGGTTGATTTATAATTATTAGTAGGGGTTTTTTTTACTTTTTTTTTTTTTTTTTTTTTACACTACGTTATATTAAATTATATGTAAATAATTTAAAATAAATACTAAAAAACTTGGCTGGACCTCGATTCAACCGGTCTAATCGTGATCCTGTTGGCTAACCGGTTCGATGTTCGATCCGGTTTTCAAAACATTGCTACAAGTTGTATGCATTAATACGCATTACTAGTAACATGTAGTAACATATGCATGTAATTGTGTACCTCGATTTGTATTTGTTGGTTATGAGTTGATTTATAATATAAGTATTTAAATTGTGTTTTTTAGTTGTTGGTGTTATGAATTTTTTTTAATAAGCGGTGGTATTTGTGTGTGTACATAATTGGTCGGCTAAAAATTTGGGGTAAAAATAAAGAATATTAGTACGAATGACTATAGTTTACTACTGTTACATGTAGTCATTTTCAGTACAATAAACATATCGGTTTTAAAAAGAAATAAAAAAAAAAAATCAGTGAAAATGATAAATGCAGATCCAAAAATGCTAATGCAGTTGGGCGAAAATTGTATACAAGGGCACAATAATACTTTTACCTCACCAGGGATATGTCAAAGGATTTTCCTAACTTGAGTTTATCCTTATTTTATTTGTCACCGAGGGGTATATCAAATTCGCCCTAATAATTATTAAATAATGGGGTCATAACAAATAAGTCCATCAATGGGTACTTATTCATAAAGAGATCCCGACAGAACACTCATTTACCAATAAGTCCATACATGGTCCCGATTTTTGTAAAGGACTAAAATAACCCCTCATACTTTAATATGCTCCAATTTCATCATTAACTTAATTTAACCTCAATTTGACCCCAAATTTCACAAATTATTCAATTTTGACCCAAAACTTTTTTTTTTCAAAAAATAATTTTTTATCAAAATTTTCTTTTCCCCGCCGGATTCCGGCGTTGACTTTTCATTTTTTTTTTCTTCCGGATTTTTTCGCCGGTTTCCGACGTTGACTTTTTCGGATTTTTTTTTTCTTTCTTTCTGTAACTTTTTTTTCTTCGTTTAAACAACAATATTGCTGTGATTGACAGTAATATTAACTATATTACTGTTAAACACAGTAAAATTGACTAAACTACAGTTTAACACAGTAATATTGCTACATTAATCTCTAGCACTATAATATTAACACAACAAAACTCATTATTATTGTGTAATAGAGTAATATTACTATGTTGACCGTTCAACAAATGTAAACATAATAAAAAGCCAAAAGAATTAATGTTACTGTGAGTGACAGTAATATTACTATAACAACAGAATATTACCGTCAACCACAGTAATATTACAATAATAGACAGTAATATTATTACGTTACTTCGTGAATAACTCAAACAAACAAAAAAATCCAAACAAAATAATAATATTGATGTAGTTGACAGCAATATTACTATAACAACAGTAATATTACCGTCAACCACAGTAATATTATTGTGTTTACAGTAATATTACAATAATAGACAGTAATATTATTACGTTACTCCGTGAATAACTCAAACAAAACAAGAAACCCAAAAAAATAATATTATTGATGTTGTTGACAGTAATATTATTGTGTTTACAGTTATTTTACTGTCAACGACAGTAATATAATTATGTTGACTTGTCAACAAATCAAACAAAATAAAAAAAAAATAACAAAAAATAAAAAACAATAATATTACGTTAATTTACTGTCAACAGCAGAACAACTACATAAATGTATTGTCAACGGCAGTATAATTACGTTAATTAACTGTCATTGACAGTATAATTACGTTAATTTACTGTCAGTGACAGCACAATTACGGTCAACGTTTAGCGCGCGGACGTAAAAAAAAATAAAAAAAAAAAAAAAAACACTAAAAAAAGTCAACTTAATGGGTTTGGTAAAAGAAAAAAAAAAATCGTCATGGCATTGGTATGGTTCTGGTTTTACCTTTACGGTCATGAGTACCCGACCATTTAATATATATATATATATATATATATATATATATAAATAATTTGACAAAATTTTAAATAAAATATTAAATAATTTAGGGAAGATATATTTGTATAATTTACATTACCCTTTTTTTTCTTATCTATTTTTCTTCCTATTTTCTGAGAGTTACTTAAGGTTATCGGACCTAAAGTTATTTTTTATTACCATAATTTAAATGGTAAATGGGTACCCGTAGATACTCTGATATTCGTGGTAATGGTTCTGGTATTTCCATTAATTTTTTAAAAGGGTTTGGTATGGTCATGGTTTGATCTATATTAAATGGTAATGGTTTTGGTGTTGCACTTTTTCAAGGGTACCCGCTCCGCTGCCATCCCTATATGTGCCAAATAATACGAGTCAAAGACTCAACAGATCAGACATTTTATTTATTAACATTTCACATTATTTGAATTAAATAAAATGCAAGTTTTGTGGATTACAAAATGAACATAAAAGAAAATTATATAAAAAAAACCCCTCTTATTATACCTATAAGTCAAATTAATTTTATAATGCATGATAAATATATATAAACTTATAGTGACAAGAAAATTCACAACCACTCAAAATGTATTGCCAGTTCCACCCTTATGCAATAATTCGTTAACTACTATAAGGAGATGTAAATCACATTAAAATAATTATATACGACCACTTCAATCTAAAATTGTTGTTAATAGTTGATATTGCACTATATTATTTTATCAACTAGGTCAATTTATGTGGGACCTTTGTGTGTATATAGTGTGATTATATTATAATTGGCTATTATGATTGAATGGTTATCTATTCAATCATCGATTTCTTGGTAGTCGATTAGGAAATTACAAGTTGGTTCCTAAAGTTAATAATAAAGAAATATATCTAAATTGCATATGGATAATGCTAAAAAAATATAGTTTTGTGAAGTTAGTTGGTCCTAAAACTCCATATATTTGAATATTTAATTAACTCCTACTCCTCCACCTTTTTAATTTCAATGATTTAATCTTGATATTGATGGTTCCTCTAAAGATAATCTGAAATGCTATTCATAGTGCAACTTTTACCGCCTTGCAGTGCGATTTATTTCATTTGTAACTTTCCTAAAAAAAACAAATTCGCCCGCTATTTCGTGTATTATTACACGAAATACACTCAATAAATTCGTGTATTTTTACACGAAATATAAGTGTTTATCGATATAAAACACGAGAGACGAAACTGTTGGATTGAAAAAAATTGTGTATTTCGTGACAAAACCCACGAAATTGTACAATATATTTCGTGGAGTTTTCCACGAAATTGTACCTTACAATTCGTAGATTGTTCCACAAAATATAATGTATTGTTTCGTGAAATTCAGTACGAAATCACTAATTGATTTGTTTTTTAATTAACCAATTTATTTCAGAAACTCAAATTGACCTAAAAATTCAAATACAAATACAAATTGAACTAGAATTCAAATACAACTACAAATTGATCTAAATTTCTAATACAAATACAAACTCAACTAGATTTCAGATACAACTACAAATTGATCTAAAATTCAAATATAAATACAAATTGAACTAGAATTCAAATACAACTACAAATTGAACTACCGACCAGACTTTAATTGTTCGTACAAGAGTAGTCGGGGTTTGTACATTTTGAGTAAGTGCCTCAGGTTTTTAGCTCTATGGTGTACCCATGCTGGATGGATTGGTGGTAGAGGACTATTCGCGACCAAATTAACAAACATGAAATGATTGTTGTGCAATGTCACAACAATCATACATGATAAGTGACCACTGCCAAACATAGGAAGGTAAGTCATACTCCCTACTTGAGTCAAAAGTACCACTAATGCATTGTATCTGGTAGCAATGGCCAATCCCATTTCATTCATGTCCATCCAATAAGCTTGTGGACAAGGCCCTGAGGTCCAGTCACACTTGCGTATGACCTCAACGTATCCGGTACTGCCAAACATCGCCGTATACACATTAGCATGCTCGTATAACTCAATAAGCAACTCCCCTCTCACTTGCGGCCATCTTTCTTGATCCCCGTACACGGCTTGAGCAACGCACCGGTACCCACAATTGCCATCCGCCATCACGTTAACATAATCTTGAATAAGACGGACCATAAATCTGGGCACGAAAGAATAAAAGTCGATTCCTTCATGTGCAGGCATTGTAGGGGCAGCAGATTCTTGTGTGGGAATACGAGAACCACGACCTTTCATCTTCGATTGAGGCGTTCCATCGGTGCTTCTCTCAACCTTTGCTTTAGGAATCTTTGCACCAGATGAGGTTTGGCGACCCTTGGAATCACAAGACGACTTAATTGTCTCCTCATCAATATGATATTGCCATCCGGAAGGGTCTCTCTTTGTCGAGTTATTCTTTGGTCATCCTTTGGTCTTAACAAATGATGGCTCGGACAGATGCGATGTAGACGGATAAACGATGCCACGCAACGAGGCCACGGCATTTATCTTACTTGTGTAATTCATCTTCTTCAAATTGCAATTCAGGCCATCAATCTGTCTATCCACAATCTCCTCGCGGTTTACTTGATACTCATGTAGCTCCGAAGGCTCAACTGCCATGGTACTCCAGAATGGATGCAAGTCTGAAATGACGAACGTGTCATTATCTTCCATTTTCTGCACAATTTTGCACGCACATGGGAGCCCATGAGTATTCCAAAGATAGTGTGTGCAAATACTCGGATCTTGCATCGCCGGGGACTCCATCTCTTGATCCAATTTCTCTAATGTCAGATGCGTAACATAACAAATCAAACCCTGAAAACACAGCCATGCTGCAGTATGTTTACTTATCTTGGATGATAATGAAAAATCGCATTTCAGCTGACTAATTTGGATATAAACTTGGTCTCGAAGTTTGCCTTGCACGTTATCCAGACCTCCGGTCGAAGCATTTAACCAACCCTTCGCTGAAGAATGAGCACTCTCCACCCTATCCAATTACAACAACAATCAAAGCATACAACGACAGTCAAATTACAAAATAAATATTATTTTAATATAATATATTTGATCATTTAAATAACTAAAACATGTAATACCTGTTGGTGCTCGTGTTGCCAAAATGATACACATTGCGAGTATAGGCTCGAACAAACTTCTCCTTGTATATCAACCACGTATCATTCAAATATTGTATCAGTCTAGGATACCCTGCGTACCGTCCAACAATTTCATTGTAATTGTAATGATACTCTTCTTCGGTTTCTGATTTCACCAGCTTAGCCCACAACACACGTCGAAATATTAGACCTTGGTCTTTGTTACCTCCCATAAATTTCGTCGCATTTGCCTCAACATTTATGTTTATATGGAATATACACAACATATGATACGAAAATGGGAAGATATTTGGTAGTGCTTTCAAAATACCCAACTCCCTGTCTGTCAAGATCGCATCAGGTTCGACACCATCTAGCAACTCTTTCAAACAATTCAAAGTCCACTCGTAAGTGTCTGCATCTTCATGCGACATAAATGCAACAGCAATTGTAAAATTCTTCCCAACTGGAGTTATCCCAATTATTTCCAAAAGAGGCATAGCATACCTACAACAATGTTATTTTTACATATTTAAACAATACAATACATTAAAACACAATAATCATAATTTAAACAATCGTAATTTTTACTTACTTATTGGTTTTGTATGTGCAGTCCAGCAATATAACATACGGGAACAGCCGTAGTAACTTAATAGATTCGGGACATGCAAACATAATATATGTAATCGTGTTGCTCGTTTCACTATCGTCGCGATGCCAATATCGATACTCGCCTTGTTGAAAGTTATGCATCATAAACTGAATAACAGTCATGCCCTCCATTTCCTCAGATTTAATCTTGGCCAACTCATTGTAAACATGTTTCATAGAGGTTTGTATCGTCGGATCATCTTTCCTCAATCTATCCATGATTAGCATTGGCTTCACGTGAGAATTTCGCAATTCTTTAATTCTTGCTTTCTGTTGTGGAGTTATACGACTAGTCGTACCTTGTCCATGTGGAAACAAAGCCGGACGATGAGTGTGCCTGCCATCGCTGACAGTCAACCGCCATAATTCATCAAACCTTGACTTTTTGCCAATCAATTTGAACGAACAACCACATTTTTTTGTTCCAGTGTTTCTAGGATCTTCCATATCGATATTCGTTTGTCGGCCCTGTCCGTATTTGTCACACGTCAAGTACTATGCATTCTCCCTTCTAGACTGACAAATCAAACGGTGACAATGACTAACTGCAGTTGCTTTGACCCAGTTGATTAATTATTCCCTACTATCGAACACAATATCAACTTGGAAGAAGTGAGAGAAATCTTCATATTCATTTTGATCCAAAACCGAGGGATCAAAATACAAATTGTCATCATATGGCTGCGTAAATTAAAAAAAAAGTTAGATACTTGCAGAAAAAAAAATAATAATACTATGTATTTCCTGTAAAATTACACGAAATTTATGTATACATTTCGTGTAGTACTGCACGAAATGAATAACAAAACAGTTTTACTACTATTTCGTGTGACTGTACACGAAATAAGAGGTATGATTTCGTAGTATTGTACACGAAATGACTGGAAAACACGAATTAAGTGTTCATTTTGTGCAAAACACCACGAAACGACTTGAATAATTTCGTGATATTCTACACGAAACGACTGAAAATCGAAAAAAATCACACTAAAACGTAATTTTTTACCTCATTTACGGGATCGATGTTGGCCATCTTGATAATCGTTGGGTTTTAACTGATTTCTACGAAAACAAATCACGATCTACGAAAGTCGAAATATTTGGAGGTTGAGAGGATTTTGTAAAAGGTTAAAGTGTTTTTTGACAAATGAATTATTTCGCACTGTAGCTGGAAAAAACCGCACTATGAATAGTAAACCCCAAGATAATACGAGGAAATAATAATATATAAAATGGGGCAATTTGCTAAACACCCTTAAGTGCTAATAGTTTTTCAAAAGAGTGGTGCTATTTCCACACTCAAATTTTCTCATTTCACCACAAATTTATATAAAATATCTAAAATACCCTTAATAATTTCTATTATTTTTGGGACACAATTTCTAATCCACCACCATCATTTTTATAATCAGTCCATCTTCACCACCGTCTTCTTCGTTTAATCTTCTTCCAATTTTCACCAAATCCCATGGCATTTATATGACCTCTATACCTATTTGTTTCCATTCTTCAATCTATCGTTGACGATGAAATAAAAAATTGTCCGTGGTCCCACTACCACCATTTGTATTATGCGGTCAATAATCAATATAACAGACAAACACAGTCTGCAAAGCTTTCTCTCATCCGCATACAGATATGGCGGCCACAAGAGTGATAGCAGTACCCCATTCTTACACTAAAACTCAGTTTTTTTTTTTGTTTGGGAAAAACTCGGATCTTTAATTTTATCTAGAAATCGAATAATTGTTCATACCGATAATGCTATTCAACTCTAATCTGCGATATATTAATCCCCAATTTGAAAACTTGGAAGAGCGTGAATCAGAAACCCTTGACTTCTTTCTCGGCAATTCATAAAAAAGTAGGCAACATTTACAGAATTTGCATTGCTATAATTGTTAATTGATTTGATTTTGTTATTTTCTCTCTTTTTCTTTTCCTGTGAGTTTCTGTGAAGACGTAGATGATGGAAAATATATAACTAGTGTAGAATTAGAATTAGAATGGTGGTGGTGAACGAAAAACGGTGGTGTAAAAGAATAAAAATATTAAGGGTATTTCGGTAATTGTATATAAAATTATTTGATGTTTCAGAAATAAGGTGGTGAAATTGGAGATTTTAAGGGTGGAAATAGCACCTCTCTTTTCAAAATCATGATAGTGTACTTTTGTAATTTGCTAAAACTTTTTTTCACGCCTTGCCTTGCGTCTATCGTAACTGTTCTTCGTCAAATTTCGTCCAACTCTGTTATATCCCGTCAAATTTGTTCCACCATCGCTCTTCGTCGTTGCCATCATCGAAGTTTTACCACCAATTAACCACACACATGCACAAATACATAACCACACACGTACGCAACCACACACACATACACATACAATTTTGGTTACATTCATTTATCTCCGCTATAACCTAATAATCATGGAAATCAAAAGGAAAAATATGAAGAATGGTTCGGTGATGATGATGGTGATGGTAATGTGGTGATGATACAAGCACCAGAGATATAAGTTTTTTTTTTCTTCTTCAGCTTATTTTAACTAGGCTATGCAAATAAGCTTTCTAAGTTGTCTAACTTCATAGTAAAATCACATGAAATACATATTTTTTTTGCTAAACTTTTCCTCGCTAATGTAACTAAGCGTTGTAAGTAGGTTTTCTAAGATGTTTGTGTAGGTTGTGCATGTGTTGTGGTATGCCTCTATTTTTATTTTTGTTTCAATTTATTTTTACTACGCTGTTGCTTATTAATATAACTGATTTGTTGATTATTAATATAACTAAGTTGTTCATATTCTCGCCTCACAGTTACAGTCAGTTTTCCTAAGCAATTCCGTTAGAACGACTTCAAATCTAGCGTTAGATCCAAAGTGAGAAAGCGCACAAAAACTTTTAGTAAAGATGTAAAATATGTCAGTCCTTGAAGGGGGCAATTTTTTTTTGGTGTTGTTTTAGAAAACATTTTCAAAATGGTGTTGTTTTGGGAGGAGTAAATGAATTGGGGTTGAGCGCCACCCCCCACGGCGGCACCGGCAGGAGGCGCCACCACCGACGGCGGCACCGACAGGAGACGCCAACTCCAACGGCGTCTTCTCTGGATTTTATAAATATTTATATTTTAATATATTAATTTTTGAACGGTCTAGATTGCCCAATCGAAACTTTGATCCGACGGTCCAGATCAAGACAGCCAAGCCTCGGGGACCGAGCTTTGACCAGGAGACGCCGCTGACAACGGCGTCTCGTGAAGATGCCACCAATACCGGCGTCTTCACTCTCTATCCTCCCCACACCTCTTCTTCCCCCAGCTGAACCTCAACTCCTTCTCTCTCTGTTAAATTTAAAACACAAAAAAGAAAATTTAGTTTTAAAATTCAAAATAAAATATATAATTACCTCCGGCGACCTCCTTCGTTGGTGCCGCCGCCGACTGGTCTCTCTATTCTCGCCGCCGCTGCCGGTGCTCCATGGTCCTGCCGCCGGTGCTCTTCACCCAACCAAGGTAATTTTTTATTATTATTGTAAATAATTAGAAAAAAAAAATATTATTATAATTTTTTATTAGGTTCAAATTTTTAATTAATTATGGTAAATAGATGTTATTAGTATTTTTTAGGAAGCATGTGGGTAGTTAGTTAGTTAGTTAGTAGTTTATTTATTTTATACTAGGTAGTAGTACTATTTATATTTTATAAGCATGGGCAAAAAAAAAAAAATTGGTGTTGTTTTGTAAAACAGTAACTAAAATGGTGTTGTAAAACATAGGGCAATTAAATTAAATTAACTAATTAATTTTTTGGTGTGCTTAATTAAATTATTATTTTTTATCTAATGTGCCTCATTATTAATTAATCTTGATTGATGAGTTAATTATCTCCTTAATCTTTTGAAGATTGATGGCGGCTAAAAATAATGTCAAAGTGTATATGTACTTTGGAGGTCACATAATTCCTGATGATTGGGTAGTGCAATATAGTATTGCCCACAAAATAGCATTCCGAATTAAACGTGACTTCCTTTGCACATTTTCTGTCAAAGTTGTATCAACGTCTAGATGTCGATGTTAATTAGTTTGGGCTAAGAGTGTGTTGCAAATCTTACATTTATAATGGAGAAAGAATGAAAGAGATGATTACCGAGATGACAACAGATGAAGATTTACAAATGTATATCGATCCGGGCGAAGGGAATGAGGCAATCGAAGTATTTGTTAAGATTGAACCGAAGTACATTGATAGTGCCCCACCACAAGTGAGCGTAGAGGCATTTGATTTGAATGAACCATATTTCTCACAACCACAGGTAACTCCGGATTTTCTGGCGGCGACACAAGGCATCCCTAACTATTGTGAGACTAGTGGAGCGAGAGAGGTGCACAGAGATCCCTATACAATTAACTATGGTAATTTAGGGGGATTTGTTGGTGAGTCGAGTTCCCCGAGACGGAGCATTTTCGAATATGATGACCCTATAGGTGACTCATTTGGGCCGAACAGTCCTGTGAATTCCAAACCATCCGATGACGGAGACGACGACAATGAAGATGAAGACGTACAAGATGATGTTCAGGAGACGTGGTTGCAGCACAACGAGGCGGAAGCAGAGGAACAACCGACGTTGTATGAGTCAATTCCATTTTTCTCGATGTCATTTCCAGAAGTGGCGGCAGATTCAGTTGATGTTGGAAGGGGCCGATATGATAAGTTTTACGATAGCGATCGAGGTATTCTTGAGGTCGGGATGGTGTTTGAGGACAAAAAAGCCTTTGCGCCGCGGTGAGAGACCATTCGATTCGATTTGCTAAACGGGAATTCACAATTGTCGAAAGTAAGCCGAAGCTGTGGAGTGTCAAGTGCAAGCATAGCACACCTGAAAGGCCTTGTAGATGGTCGTTGCGGGGAATTGAAAAATCGGGCAAAGGATTCTTCCTTATTACGAGATATGGTGGGCCCGACAATTGCATAGTGAATGAAATGTCGAATGAACACAAGAATTTGGACATGAACTACATTGCTTCCTTATTGGTTCAGTCCGTTCGAGATGACCCAGCTTGCAAAATAACACAAGCACAGAATATTGTGAGATCTCAATTAGGATTTCAACTTTCGAAGATGCAAGCTTGGTATGGTTTGAAGCGTTGCAGAGATAACTTGTTCGGGAGTTGGGAGTCCTCAGTGAACAAATTGCCCAAGTTTATGAAGGCACTCCATAGAACGAACCCGGGTACGGCAATTGAGTGGGTTTTCGAACCAACGGACATTCCAACACGGAAGATGATCAAGTACTTCGTTTGGGCCTTCAAGCCATGCTTGGATGGAACTCATCTCTACACTAAGTACAAGCACAAGTTACTAATTGCCGTTTGTTTGGACGCCAATAACCAAGTGCTACCACTAGCATTTGCTCTTGTTGACAATGAAACCACGGCGGCTTGGAGGTGGTT